CAGGTGGGCATAGTTCCATTTTAATAACTAGTATTTAGAGATTATTGGATAAAACATTTCATGGACATAAATTTATGATCCTCATATCCCTCCAAGATGCCACCACATCCCGGTGGGACGATGACAGTCTTTGTTATTGTCTTCTAACAACAGGGGTGATAAGCTAGTGACAGGAGAGCAAGCCGCCGGCTTGTCTCTCTTTATTCAAGCTTTAAAGGACTTACTGTGGCCTCCTTTTCGAATGCTAGTCATAGAATCTCCTTGTCTTTGAAAGTGTCCATAGCTGTACACATGTGCAAAGATTCACTTCACGAGTTCCAACCCAAAAAGTGCCTCGCGTGTCGGCAACTTTCTCTCTGTTGATGTCTATATGCACAACTGGAATTATTAGTTCAAAAGAATTAATATAAACAGCAAACAAGCGGAAGTACAAGGAAAAATGCCGCTGCTCAAGAGCTCTCTCCACTCTTTTTCTCTTGCGAGCGTGTCACTCGTGTCTGTTTGAAGTGTTCTGTTTCACTCTTCCTTCCTTTTAACTATTCCTGAGGGGTTTTGTGAAACATCAGAACCAGGAGCAGGTCCTCAGTGGAGCCTGGGTATCTTTTTGAAAATAAGTCTGTAGGGCAAATAGTCGGCTGGGTACAACTTCCGAAGGAAGCAATGCAGCTCCCAAGGGATTCTTAATGCCACTCAAAGGAATCACAACCCTAGCAGGTATGTGGGCAGCATAAGGCAGCAGTGACAGAACTGAAGGTGTATATCTGATCTGATCGTCCCCCTTGAAAAAGCCAACCATCTTGGAATCTTCCAAGAGAGTAGATCAAAGACGTTATGACCAGAGGCCAAAGGCAGAAGTGTCACCTCCCCTGTCGGAGGTGAGATATCAAGTGTGTCCCTGAGGTGTGCGTGTCCTGAGCTAGGCACGTGTGCAGGTGACACTGGGCACCTGGGGGTCTGTGCAGTGACAGAGGAGCCACTGTCCGAGGTTCAAGTTGAATTTCCATCACAACAGTCACTTCACATTAAATACCAGGCATGCATTTACCAAAGAATGGAGCTTTTGAAGAGTGTCAGTATTGTGCTGCTTCTACACAAACATCATGGGAAGGTGAGGCCTACATGTGCTTGCACATTCACCGATTCCTGCGAGAAAAGGAAAAGCAAAGGGCTCACCTTCAGAGCGATGCCTTAAGAAGCCACAAAATAAATACTGTCCAGTAGACAGAACACCAAGTGCGGCTCGAGTAGTTAAAGTGACAGCAGAAGCCTAGCAGATAGCCAAGAAGACATAGCTCACTGGGTTCCAGCCGCAGGAAGACGCAACCAGCCCATTCTGGATTATGTCTGTTCCTGCTGTGTTTATTTTCACAGTTGGCACCAAAGAGCACTTGTATAAATTTCCCTGGCATCGCGTAAAAGAATTCAGTTGCGTTTCCTACTATCTCTTAACTGCCCTCAGCTCTGCAGTGTGAATCTGCCACAGGTCATTTCTGAATCACACGATCACGCCCTTTGCTCAAACCGTCCTCAAAGGACCCATAAGGAGAGATATGAGTAAAGCTCAACCATGCTTTTTTAATAATAACATTTACATTGAAGAAAAAATGCAAAATTGTTAGTTGAATTCTTTTAGAAGTCCGGTTACTGGGTCTACCTTTCGTTGAGGTTGAAGAAAAGAAAGCTGGCAGGGCAATCCTTGGGTTGCCATGGGAGATTATACACATGCACCTCTTCTCGTGGAGCCAAGGCTAATTTTGAGTTTTCCACCTGCATGTCTGCCGTCTTCACTAAGGTATATATATATAATTTCAGGGAGGGAGGAAGGGAGAGGGAGATGGGAGATAGAAACATCAATGATGAGAGAGAATCATTGATCGGTGGCCTCCTACACGCCCCCAACTGGAGATCAAGCCTGCAACCCAGGCATGTGCCCTTGACCGGAATTGAACCCGGGACCCTTCAGTCCGTAGGCCGACGCTCTATCCACTGAGCCAAACCAGCTAGAGCCACTAAGGACTCTTAATAACATTTCCCTGAGCTCTTGGTTTCTTCCTTTTCTTCAAGCAACCCCTGTCAAAGCATCCCAACCTTCTTGGCAAACCCCACAAGTAATCTCGCTTGTGGACGAAGCATCAAAGCCCTGGCTATTCTGCAGTCTGCCCCTCGCTCAGTCACACTCGTCCTCTGCGAATAAAACCCTTCATACAAATGGCAACCCTGCTCTCCTCATGCCTCAGGCTCTCCTCGTTTCCCAGCCACAGCCGCAGTCAGCACACTTCCTTCTAGACGCAGAGCAGGCCCATACTTTCGCAGGCTTCCACCCTCGGGGCTGTCTTAGAAAGCCACCGTACCCAACAGGCACTCCTTCAACAAATAGCTGTTGAGCTGCCAGGAACTATTCCTCGTCACTGGGGCGTAACAGTGAACAACACACAACAATTCCACCTTCATGGGGAGTACATGCCAATGAAACAGAGGCGAGTTGAGACTTGAAACATGGGAACGTTGCTCTCTGTAAAAGTCCATGTCATAAATGATTTGTGGGAATCCCATCCTCCTTTCATTTTTTAACTTTGTCTTTTATACGGTGTTCCTGACATTTTTTTTATCCTCACCCAAGGATATTTTTCCATTGATTTTTAGAGAGAGTGGAACAGAGAGGGAAAGACAGAGAAAAATATCGATGTGAGAGGAACACATTGATTGGTTGCCTCCTGCACGCGCTTTGACCAGGGCCCAGGCTGGGGAGGAGCCTGCAACTTGCCCTTGACCGGAATCCAAACCAGGAACCCTTCGGTCCACAGGCCAATGCTCTATCCATTGAGCCAAACTGGCTAGGCCCTGACAATTCAAAATGGGAAGGTGTGGATGAAAGAATGTGAAGGGATCATCCAAAAACCATATATACATACCACATAGACACAGAGGACTATGCGGCGATAGCCATAGGGAAACGGAGGTTGGGGGGAGGTGCAAGTGGGCAAAGGGTGGGGGGAAATGGGGATGGAAAGAGACTTTGCTTGGGTCAGTGGGCACATGATACAGTGTGCAGATGATGTTTCATTGAGTTGTACACTTGAGACCTATATGGTTTTTCTAACCAATGTTACCCTAATAAATTCAATTTTAAAAAATGGGAGAAAGCTTTAGGAAATGGAATCTGTGACTTCTTCACTCTACCAAGGATTCTATTTAACCAGGCAATTCTGCTCTCTACCTCTACCCAGGACTTTCCCCTTTGTTTCTAACCAGTTTAGGAAGGGCTCAACATTCTTGTCCAGGAAGCCCTGTTTAATAATAGAGGCTTGATAAGCTACACTTGGCTTAAGTATATGTGTGTAAGGGGGAGACACAGGGCTGTGTCTTCGCAGAGAGTACCATAATCAGTGGTAATAAGGAGAGGGATTTTTAATTTTTTCTTTATCAAAACTTTGTTCATTTAGTCGTTGTAGCAAGAAGTTAAAAAATATGTAGGCTCACTCTTAGAGCATGTTTCTGATTATAATGTCAATTTTTCAAAATTGCAAAATGAGAAGGGAAGTTCTTACTGTTAACATGAATTTTGCATGAAGTTTAGATCCCAGACAGACTTCTAAAGTCACTAAATCTCGTTATTTTTCACACTGAACATGTACTGGGCAGTCCACAATATAACCAGGTAACATCACGGCTTTGGTGGAAGCAAGTGGTATGGGCTCTGGCGCCAGGCCCACCTTGGCCTTCTTGCAGAGCCCTTAGTGTCCCTAGAAGTACAGTCCAGAGGCTGCTAATCTAGGTCAGATCCTCCCGTTCATGTCTGGAAGAAACCGAGACCCAACGAGATGAAGTTATTTGCCACAAGTCACACACCATTTAGCAGTACAGCAAGGACTGGGATTCAGACTTCCAGTCACACGCTCTTTCTACTGTGCTGTTTCTTTTCATGAAAATGCGAAGGCACTTGGTTGGGTCTTGTTTTCCAGTATTCAAATAAAAATATAAAAATCAAAGAGATTTCCATGCTGAGTGGTCCAAGTCTGTCTACATTCAAGTCTCCCCACTTAGCAACACTGGCGAGCCATTCCCCTTGCCCTGTGGAGGCAGGTGCCCAGGCTCTGCCCCCTGAGACATGGCAGGGGCAGGTCTTTGCCTGCGTGCCTAGAAGCTGGAGAGAGAGGTGTACTGGGCATAATGTGTTGGGGTGGGGGGGGGAGAGGAGTCCTGAGCTTCTCTCCTCACTCTTAGCTCTAGGTGGGGGCTGAAGCATTCTTGTCCAGGAAGCCCTGTTTAACAATAGAGGCTTGATAAGCTACCCTTGGCATCGTAATTCCCCTTCACTACTCTAAATATGGCTCTAGTGTGCCACCTCCCCTTTTTAATGCCCACAAAGGATATACTAAACCCCAAGGTTTTGTGAGTGGGTGCCCCGGAGGGCTGGCCCTTGCTTCCCTTACTCTAAAATTATGTTTTTCCTCGGAAAAACTAGCGTGCACTTGGAACAGACACCAAGGTTGGCCATATCTTTACTTCTGGCTGCTAGTTGGGGAGGAAACCTGGTCAAGGCTTTACATGGGGTCTCACCCTTGAGGACTTCCTGGTTTCTCTCCCCTGCCCCCACCTTTTATCTTTCAACTTGACCGCCAGGCTCCTTCTCAGTGGGATATTGGCCGGAGGGAGCGGGGTAGGAGAGAAGTTCACACTGACTTACTTTAGCTCCTTTATCGAGACAGCTTCCTGGTCGATCTGAGCCACAGCCCACTTCCCCCTCTGCCTGTCACTGATAGAGCCCTTGCCAGAACCCTCCCAATCTTCCCCATGGGGAGCCCTTGGCCTTATCCAGCTTGAGGGGGGTGGGGGGGGGCCTTGACCGATTTACAATTAACTCTTCATGTCCTGGAAAACTGAAGCCACAAACATTGGGTTTCTATCATGCCCAAAACTTAGAGCACAGACATTACAGCCGCTCGGGCCTGTTGGGAAAGGCATTACTAACATGAACTCTGCCTTGTCCGTCTCCTCAGGAAGAGCATGAGATCCCCGCCAGTGTGTTTGCCAAGGAGCCCGTGCCCAGCCCCAACGAAGGGAAGGAGGACCTCGCCGACGAGAACAAGTCCTTGGAGGAGACCCTGCACACGGTGGACCTCTCGTCGGAAGAGGAGTTGGCCCACGACGAGGAGGCCCTGGAAGACAGCGCAGAGGAAAGTATGGGAGAGAGCAGAGCCGAGAAGATCAAGAGGTCCAGCCTCCGGAAGGTGGACAGCCTCAAGAAGGCCTTCTCCCGCCAGAACATCGAGAAGCAGATGAACAGGCTGGGGACAAAGATCGTGTCTGTGGAGAGGAGGGAGAAGATTAAGAAATCGTTCGCTTCCAACCACCAGAAAACATCCTCCGGGAAGAGCTCCCCCTTCAAGGTCTCCCCTCTCACTTTCGGGCGCAAGAAAATCCGAGAGGGGGAAAGCGCTGGGGAGAACGAGACCAAGTCCGAAGACGCGCCCAGCAATGAGCACGTGCCCAACGACCATGACCACGAGGGGAGCTCCCTGGCCGAGGGCCTCTCCCAAGCATCCCTCTCCAGCGTCCTGGCCGAAGGGAAGGGGGCCGAGGGGGAGAGTGGGAGGGCAGCCTCGCGGGGGAGTAACTCTGGCATGGACAGCAACGTGGACTTGACCGTCGAGGTAGATGAGGAGTCACTGGTGGCCCGGGAACAGGCACAGAAGGTGCGCCATGAGGCCGGCTACTCGCTCAACTCCAAGGAGGCAGAGGGGTCGGAAGAGGAGGCCGCCCAGCCCCCGGTGCTGCAGGTGGGCCAGATGGCCTGAGCAGGAGGCCCACTGGGCCCAGCGGTGCCTGCAGGCAGGTGGGAGCCTGGAACACGCGTCCACGTGCCTCCAGCGCTCCCCACTCACCACTGTGTTGTTGCCCATGCAGCAGCACACACGTGACCAAGATTCACTATGAAGGCAGCCTGTTGGGGGCTCCATTTCTAATTTGCTCCTAGGTTCTGTTTCTGTAGGATTTCTCCAAGATTGCCCAGAAGACATGAAGCAGTTGCAAAACATTGATCAGGTTAGCTTAGTCAGAGAACCAGGGGCTCCTGAAGACACTAGTCATGAAAGGCGATTGATTTGGGGTCATTCCATAAGCTTGCTGCATAACGTACCAGTAATACATGGAATTTCCACAGAACTCCGTGCATCTGTTAGTTATTTTTCAGGTGTGTGATATACGATATACATGTGTGTTTAAGCTAAAGGGGTAACTGCTTTTTTAAAAAAAGAAAACACATTTTTGAGAAGTAGAAGAAAAAATTCAGTTGACCATCCACTTAATGGAAACCATTATTTTCTTGAAAATAAAGTAAAAATTGTAATTTTAGCTAATGAAGTAAGACATGTAGGAAAATCAGGAATCTTAGAAAAAGAAAACTAGAAAATGATGTGGGAAAATAAGAAAAACAGGAACAAAGATGCCAAAGAAAATGAAGACACAGAGAGGAAAAAAGTATGTGCTTAAAAGTAGAATATTTACAATCTAAGTTCAAGTATTTCACTCTTTATAACAATACTAAAGAAGTTCATATATCTGGAATAATGTTATATTTTCACAATATTGTTATTTTCTAACATTTTCAAATAATATAAAGACATTTTACTGTGTTAAAGCTGTATTTTTTCTTAATATATAGAAGACATTACAAATATTCCCCTGAAGAAACTCAAAAGGATGTTGTCTCTTTAACACTGGGAATGAACATAAATATTCGAAATTAATTAACGCATGCTGCCTTTTCTAGGAAGTTGGAAAATGCTAGTCTTTAATGTAATGTTTTCCAAATTTCAAACACTCGCACTCAAAATGTAACGTTGGTTTATAGGATATGAAAATCAACAGGTTTAGGAAAGGGAGGGCTTCCATTTGTCCTTTTTTTAGACATAATGATAATTTCATTCCAGGTCATATTTTATTTATATGTCAATTTCACATCATTTTAGTATGTTTATTCACTTTTTAAAGCATGCTAGTATTTATATATATATATATATGCACATATATTCAGATAGGGACATTTTTACTACTGCCTAACATTATACTAAAATGATGCTTTATCTATTTTTAATTACAGAATGCTAATGTTTTGAGAATATTATGAAACTATAGTTTAAAGACAGGTAGCAAGGAGCAGTTCCCTGCCTTTAGATTTCGCCACTCACTATAAGTAGCCTTACAAATATAGCTAACCCAAGACAGTATTAACAAACTGCTTTGTCTTATAAAAGAGATAAGTTTAACAAATGTATTGATGGCATAACCTATACAGCTATCCTTGTTTTTGCAATCATGTACCCCACGTATTAGATGGTTGAACTAACAATGGCTGTGTTAAAGAAGACTAAATAAACCAAAAATGAAAAGTATATAACAGTGTCAGTTTGTTGGCAGAACAATTTTAGAACAAGCAGAGAGAATTGATTTTTAAACTCTCCTCCAAATATAGCTGTAATGTTGATTGTTTCCGTCTTGATTTCCCCTATTAACTCGGCTTTCTCTTTTCCCTGATCTCATTTAGAATCTGAGTCTCATTCTTCCAGTTTAACTTTCTTGACATCACCTTGCCAGCTCTGGGGAGCATGTGAATTGATTGCAGCTGCTTGATGAATTTGATATTTCCATCTGCATTTTTGCTGTTTGGTACCAGACCTCATAATACCTTAAGTAGTCCTGCAAACATGAATGTATCGAGCTGTGCATTCAGTTGATCCGCACAGATAAACCTTGTCTGCTGCACTGTCATCCATCTGGTGGAAGACTTCCTTCCACTCCTGGCCCTCAGCATGCCTGTTTCACCTTTACCAGGTTGCCATCACTTCTTGCTGCCAAAGAGTTGGAGGGTCCAGAGTTAATGTGGTGATTACATTTCCTTTTCCAAAAATGCGTATGTTGTGTAGTGAAAAACTACACTCAGGCATCTTTTTAGATTTTACCGACAAACAATTTACTCTATGCTCCACATTCGAAGCATTGAAATCCTCAGCAATAAACAGAGAATAAGGCCAGATAATTGTTGGAAAACACATACGTCAGGATTACAGAGAGGAGAGCCGTTGTGGAAGCAGAGCTGTTTCCTCTGTGTTATTGTTGAATTATTTGCATTCTGGTGAGGCTGCACAGTCCCCAAATAAGATATGTCTTCCCCCTGCCCAGCCACTAACCCACTTCTAACTCATGTGCCTGGAGCTCACGGGATTAGTTCCCCCCCAAAGGTTGGTTGTACATTAATAAGCACTGAGATCCATATCTTAGAAACATAATTCAGGAGCAAGAAACTTCATTACATGGATCACAAATCTCACAGAAATATAGCAAAGATGTCACTTTTCTACGAGATTTTACTTTTAAAATATATAGATATATATTTCAGCAGGAACATTTTTCTCTTTCCAATTAGGCATCCAGCCTGTGTCGGGATTTCTTTATACACAGGAAAATAAAAGACCCACACTAGGGCCAGTTTGGCATAAAATAAAGATTTTTTTTCACATGTATTGTGTGATGAAAGCCCAGAATGTTTCTGCTTTTGGGCAAAAAAAATCAAGGTTTGAACCTCCTGCATTTCAGGCCAAGATCAGGACACCGGGAGCTCCTTGGACAGAGCCAAGCAGCTAGTGTTGGTAAAGGTTATATTGAAAGTCATTTCCTACATTAGGAGACTAATGCCCCGGCCCAGTTAATTCTTGCTTGAAAGTTTGTTTACTGCCCTCCAGCCCCGGTCTAAGTGGTTTTCTATTGGAGATTGAGAGCATGAGGCACCGAGGCGCAGGCAGCGATCATTATTAACAGTTCCATAGCAACCACCCTTCCTGTCCTAAACCCACGCTGACACCGCCAAGCTCCTCAGACGAAACTGGCGTCCTGACCTTGGTGTTGTGCTTGATCTGGGTGTCCAGATAAAGGCTTCTGCAGCCAGGAGCTCCTGCCTAAAGGGAACGGGCAGGCGCTCCCATTATTAAAGAGAGAGCCTTCTGATTTTTGTTTAGAACATTGCATTGTCCTGCAGTATTTGAAGCACAGAAATCATTCTTCACTCTCCACTCAAACTCCCCAATGAAGAAGCCAGATCTTTAGCAAAACAGCTTGATAGGCAATCATTTAGACTTTTCACCATAAAACCAATTCATTGAATATTTATTAAGCAATGCAACAATCTGTCTCTCCCATTGGTTAAAAATTCTTAGTCCCCAAAGCAGTAAGACACAAACCTAGGGGAGAGGGAATATATATATTTGGTCAGTCCTCACCAGAGGATATTTTTCCATTGATTTTAGAGAGAGTGGAGGGGAAGGAGAGAGACAGAGAAACATCAATGTGAGAGAGACGCATTGATTGGTTGCCTCCTGCACGGGCCTGACCAGGACTGGGGGTCGAGCCTGCAACCGAGGTATGTGCCCTTGACCAGAATCAATCAGGAACCCTTCATTCCGCAGGCCAACACCCTATCCACTGAGCCACACCAGCTCGGGTGGGAACCAACATTTTTTATAGCTTCTGTTACACCAGGCTGGGATCTCCAGTGGTCAGGTCCTATGTACCTACCACACGCTAGACATAAGCTCTATCTCATTTAATGAAACAAATCCTATTAGAAAGGTGCTATTTTTGCACCTGAGACTTTTGACATTAATTTACTCCAACAAGTAAGATGGGGGAGGGAGGGAACTCCAGAATTCTTAACCACTCTAGGTTCTCACTCATCATGTTATAATTTAACTATTTTTCCTTTGCTGGTCACAGAGTTAAAAGTCTTGCCCAAGTTCACGTAACTATTGAGTGTGAGAGTCAGTGCTCAACCCCAGTCTGAACGCCATGCTTTTGCCAAAACAGACTCCTAATTATGTCACCCAACTGTGCTTAATGAAGAATCACTTTACAAGCTCTTAGATCAGCCATGGGCAAACTACGGCCCGCAGGCCGGATCCGGCCCGTTTGAAATGAATAAAACTAAAAAAAAAAAAAGACCGTACCCTTTTATGTAATGATGTTTACTTTGAATTTATATTAGTTCACACAAACACTCCATCCATGCTTTTGTTCCGGCCCTCCGGTCCAGTTTAAGAACCCATTGTGGCCCTCGAGTCAAAAAGTTTGCCCAGCCCTGTCTTAGATGGTGTAGTATTACTTTCATTGTATCGCCCCTTAGACAGCAGGGTCACAGGTAGCCACACTACGTAAATGATTTCGGGGACTGTCATTCAATGCTAAGAAAAAGCAGCTCCTGGTTCCTGGGGAGCCACACAGAGACTATTATTCAGGTTTGCGGGGGCCACGGAGGGGCTCCCTACTCCTTGGCATTGTCCGTAGCCGCAGGGTTCACTTTGGGACATCGCTTAATAAGGGCAACTTGTCAACAGAGAGAGACGCTGGGATTGGCTAATTCGAAGATGGCACAAGACGTCTGCTCTAACTCTTTACGTTAAAGGACTCATCCCCTGTGTCATGCTAGAGAAATCACCATATCCTGCCTGACACGTCCTCTCATAGGCCGAAAAGATAAACTAGTGGCAAATCCGCACGGGGCTGTGCAAGGGGAGGATGGAGGCTCGGAAGCACAGTGAACCTCGAGGAGAGGGAGACCCAGCCTCTGAGATAATTCCTACAAAACCGTCCGGCCGTCTTCTCAAGGGAAACAGGAGCAAACACTGGTGCCTCTATTTCTGTGCTCACGCCACCAAACACCCTCCAGGCCAGCCCTCTTTCATCGGGATGGATGCTGCAGGCAGACTTCTTCCAGAGCAGCGGTTCTCAACCTGTGGGTCGCGACCCCTTTGGCGGTCGAACGACCCTTTCACAGGGGTCGCCTAAGACCATCGGAAAACGCATATATAATTACATATTGTTTTTGTGATGAATCACTATGCTTTAATTATGTTCAATTTGTAACAATGAAAATACATCCTGCAGATCAGATATTTACATTATGATTCATAACAGTAGCAACATTACAGTTATGAAGTAGCAACGACAATAATTTTATGGTTGGGGGTCACCACAACATGAGGAACTGGATTAAAGGGTCGCGGCATTAGGAAGGTTGAGAACCACTGTTCCAGAGGCTCCGGCAGGGGTTCCAAACCCAAATGTCTACAGGGGCTCACAGAGCACAATGGTGCCAGGAGGGGGCGGCGATGGTGCCAAAGCCGTTGCTTGTGGGCCATGTCCTCTCGATGGGGCACCTTCTAACTCATCCGCCCAAAGGTAGTGCCTTTTTTCAATTTCCAGAAAGGGGTGGTACCTTCTAGGAGCCACCAGGACCGGGGGAAACTGCCAGCCACCACCCAACTCCAATTGCCATGTCAGAAATCAAGCCCGGTGTTGCCAACAGTTCTACTTCTTTTAAGAAGGGCCAGAATTCAGATGTCTTTCTACGTGAAATCCTCTTTGCCTTTAATTTTTGGCAACTGGCTCAAATCATTTTAAATAGCATGCAAGCCAGTCGTAACTGTCTGCTCTTGATGTGTCTCTGGCCTGGACCACAGCTTCTGACTTCAAGTCGATAGAGATGAAGGCTCTGAGCTCTCCTTCCCACCCTGAGGCGCAGACTCAAGAGTAGAAGCTAGTCACAGGATTGGATTTGCCTTGAGAAGAAAACGCAAACCTTCTTAGGGAAATATAGAGTGCCAACGCACTCTTCCCAGAACTTGTGAGCAATGCTCTCTTACTGCTTCCTTAATTTGTAAGATTCCTGTTCATGCTGCACAGCTAGTGACTGGGGAGAGAGCCACCCATCACATTGAAAGGTGGTTAGAGGATCTATTTTGTTCATTAGATTCCACAGAGACATTGAAGCATGCAGCAGACTGACAAATTTCAGAGGGAAAGGGAAGGGGGAAATCATTAACCAAAGAACACATATGCAGACAATAGGGCGGTGAAGGCCTGGGGAGGGGAGGCGGGACCAAGGTGGAGGGGGTCAATGCGGGAAAAGGGGGGACATCTGTAATACTTTCAACAATAAAGAAAAATAAATAAAAGGAAAGGTGGTTATAGGTTCTCTAATGGCAAAGCACCACTTATTATTAGCATCGCTAACTACCTGTGTGTTACCGGCAGAACCCTTGCTTGTCTAAGGGATTGGTAGTTTTGGTAAACTGAGCATAGGATGTGACTATCCTATTTCTATGTTCCAGGTTGAAAAATAACCACTAAAATATATATATATATATATATATATATATATATATATATA